GGTAAAAATCTGGCAACGTCTCTTTGGGTGCCCATGCATGCCCGGCATATCTGCCTATACCGGTAAGCTAGAATAGTTACACCCTAGTTGTAACTATATAAATCATCTAGCCGCTCCAGATGATGTAGAAATCTCAAGCTGATTAGGTTTCCCGAAGTGTTCGGGAACAGTATACCACCAAACATCAGCAGCAGCAACAGTCTCGTGTGCCGGTCGATATCCTCTGGAGATGAATCATCAGTGATCTCCGCTTCCATTACCACCAGATGCTGCCGAGCGGGCGTCAACTGCAACCGACTGGCCCCACTCAATGCAGTCGGCTCCGCTGTCTGGAAACCGGTGAGCAGCTGCAACATATGAAGGTAATCCACTCCCGTATAGTCTCTAAGAGCATGCAAGTAAGCTACATGGATACCATCAACAGGCAGCCCGAAAAGAACCTCCACGCTCTCAAGCGTGATGGTAGCCTCGCCGATGGGTAAATGAAACGTGTGCATCTCCGGTTGCCACCGCTCTATCATAGCCGTGATCAACGCCTAGTCGAACTGCAACTGGCCGATCTCTATAGAAACATGTATCCTGAAGGCGTCTAACTATACGGGGATGCAGTGGGTGGTCCCTAATGAACTCCCACATATCGTCTATACGTCTGGAGCGGAATATCTAGGACAGACACTGACCATCCCAAATATGTGAAGACTTATGGTTGCCCTGTAGCAACAGTAGCTCTCGAGATGCAGGTCTGGGATGCACATTGGGAACCTCCATGTCGATATCTGTAAATTGAACAATATTAATTAAAGTATTTTTCTGTTTAATGTTTAACATCTTCAAATATATTGCAATATATTTTATATTAATATTTAATCGATATTTTTTCTATATTATTACTTAGGTTATACATTTTCTATATTATTATTTTATATGTTAGTTTATTACATTATTTTATATGTTAGTTTATTATTTTATATGTTTGTTTCTTACTCACCTATTTTTGGGTATAATAGAAATAAATAATTAATTTTCCTAACTATACATGATATAATTAATAAGTACATATAAACATAGTTAGTTTGACAATTTTTTTATATTATTTTTTTAATGTTATTTTTTACATTTGTTGACTAAAATTCGAGAGGGTTTGTGTTTGAACTATCATCTTTTTTTCCAGATATTTTTAGGGTTAACAAATAATTAAATGATTAATTTTAATAACTACAAAGATAATTTAGTAATTATTCATATAACAAATACTTAGGTTGATAAATTTTCTATATTAATATTTCATATGTTAGTTTCCAACATTTTTCTACTAAAATTCTGCATGGTTTTGTTTGAACTATCATCTTGTTTAAGTTATTTTTGAATTATAATAGAATTATAATATATTACAATTTCATAAGTAATCAAGATATAATCAACAATTAATCATATAAAAAATACTACAAACTTAATAGTAAATACTATTGAATTTATTTCTTTCGTAACGATTTGTTTGTTAACTTTCATATTTTGCTCAAATTTCCTGACAAATGATTATTTTATATACATATCTAATATTTGATAATTATCTACTGATACATTCAATCCATAATCGAGTACTACATCCGAGTTTGTTAAGGAGAGCACGTAGTCTTCATTCTACACAACAGAATCTTAAAAATCACTAAAGTAACACTACTCTAAATGGCCATGAACAAAGTCAACTATCATAAGCTAAAATTTATTATCAGTTTTACTACGCTAAAGGGCACAACATAACATTAAAGAGCTCTAAACAACAACAAAGTCACATATTAATATACGTACAACAACAAAATCACATATAACAATAATTATTCATAATAATATATCTTTTCACTAATTCTTTAGCACATAAATAATCCAATCCAGATAAAAAACAACAAATTAATTAAATCACAAAACGATCACAAAAAAATATAGCCCAGAGTAAAAGATAACTAATAATCATTTTATATACATGAGTTTTACCAAAAAGTAAGTCGGAATACTTCGATTTAAAGTTTTTTGAAATGTGAAAATTTGATGATTTGGGGGCCGAAACGAGCAGTAGACGAGATTCACTACACGACAACACCTTGGATCCAGTGTTAGCTTGCTACAATACGGAGAAGATACACTTTTTGTGGGATGGGTGGGCTCCAATGGAGCTTTTTTGCTTAAAAAAATAGGGGGGGATCGATTTTTTGTCTACTGGTTCGTTCTGGTCGGGGAAGGAGACGACACATTTTTTATATAGGTATAACGCATATGTATGAGGCGCTATATCCTGCATATGCGCTATACCTCCCGCCAATTTTGAGTTCAAATATAGCGCGGTTATTCACCGTGCTATATCTTAACGGACAAACGTGTCGTTAAGGTATAGCGTGGTGAATAACCGCGCTATATATAAAATGGTAGTCAGTTTTTTCCCCATCTATTGTGTCGTTTAAGTCCAAAAAGGCCACACTTTGGTTCTGGTACCTCCAGCTAACTTGTTTAGGAGTTGGTAAAACTATTAGATCTCTCTATTTTATATAGAAATTATGTACCCATTGAATCCATATTTTGTCCGATATTGCCCAAAAAAGTAAACAAATTGCAGCTCTATTCCATATATAACAAAAATTAATAATATTCAATCCTCTTGATGACCTAGGTGTATGGGTCAAAATCTGTCTTTGGAATATTTTAAGCCAAGATAGTACTAAGGGAAGAGTTCCCATGTTGTTGTTGTCGAGATGGCCCAAGAAGCAGCAAACTCTGTGGTCGAAGAACCAACGAGAGCCGTAGCCGAGGTGTCACCAATGGTCGAGGTCGAGGTTGAGTACCATTGATTGAGTTGTAATGACTAGTTTTCAAGATAGGATATTAAAGAGAATATTCTAGTGATAATTCTCTGCACTTGTACTATTGGGGTTTCTTAGGAACATGTCCCATATAACTAGAAAAAGAGACAATGATAGGGGCATGTGATATTCATTTGTAAAGAAGACATTTTGACTTAAAGATTCGGCTCTCACTTGCTAAGACACAAACATCACCTTTTCACTGAGATTCTTGTCCATATTTTTCCATTAGATCCGAGAATAACTCGAATATTCAAGGATTTGTGTGTCATCATTGTCAGGAGGAAGATCCACTTATTCCATCCTTTATTAAATGAATCATTCCTCCTATTTACTTAAATGTCATTTAGTGTTGTTCATTATTATTGAATGATGCGTTATTGCTCTTGATTTCTAGAACATTTATTATATGTTATTGCCATTGTCCAATCAGATCCACACGATATTTATTGCTTCTTCAAAAACCTCATATAAGGATTTTATTGTTAGCTAAGATTAACCCTTATTTACATAAATTTAATTATTTGAACCAAAATCTATATTTTTTTGTCAAACAATTTGATGCCGTCTGTGGGGATTTCTTAGTTAAATTTTTCGTTTCCTCTAGATCTACAACTAACATAGCGCCACTAACGTAAAAAAAACCAAGATCTCCTTTATTTGTGTATGCAAAACCCTACATGGCAGGTAACCGAGAAGAAAGTACGAGAATAACAAGTGACTTCCCAACTAACCTTATGAATGTCATCAACGAAAGTTGTGAAACGGCAGGTGAGGACACGATGCCCAGTTCGTCCCCTAGGCGAGATGGGTCACCGCCCCCATACTGCAGCATAACAAAACCTCATGGTAAGGGGTCTCCACATCTTTAGAAGAAGGGACGCACCCAGATGTGAAAAAACTCCTCAAGGCATGGCTAACCGACTCAAAAATCGCAAGGACTTGCGCGATACAACAAACAGACGAGCAATGCAACCAACCCCTCCCTCCAATGACAGGTATAACTCACAATGGCATTGATAGTGCAGGTGACAACGCCCTCGCAACCATTCTAAAAAAGATGGAAGAAATGGAGAATGAAAACAAGGCGCTCTGAGACCAGATGAAAGAACACCAAAAACGGTTTGATAAGATACTGGACGCTCCTAAGCTGCTGCCGAAAAGGTACTCCGGCCGGTTCGTCGAGCAATCGTACAGTGATGATGCAACCCATCATGCCATACCAAAGACATTCAAAATGCTGCCCTACCTCAGGATATACGACGGCACGACCGATCCTGAAGATCACGTGACTCACTATGTCACCACCGTGAAAGGCAACGACCTCGCCAAGGAACAAATGTCCTCCATTTTGCTGAAAAAGTTTGGTGAAACCCTCACGGGGGGAGCATTGATGTGGTATTCACAGCTTCCAGCCCGCTCCAAAGAAACTTTTGAAAAAATGGCCGACAAGTTCATAACCGCCCATGCCAGAGCCAAGAAGGTCGAGGCAAGAGTGAATGATATATTTTCTATTAAGTAATCCCTAGGAGAGAGACTAAGGGAATTCCTCCCCCGGTTCAACCGAGTAAGGATAACTCTGCCAAACATATCCGAAGGGATGGCGGTCGCAGCCTTTCAGAACGGGCTGAGTAGAGATGTTTCAAGAGCAACTAGAAAACCGTTGAGTCGGTTGATGAAGTATCCCCCAACCTCTTGGGATGAAATCCACAATGCTTATTGTGCTGAGGTCCGAGCAGATGACGACGACCTCAACGGGCCAACTCGCCGACTAACCTCGGTACAAGCCGAATCTAGAAAAGTTCAAAGAGACAACGCCAGAAGAGATAATCCAATTCCGCGACCTAACGGGGAACGACATCAACCATATGTCAAGATGGTCGCCACGCCCTCCCGTTAAGAAGAAAGTCTATCCCGCCCAAGAACAGGAACGAAAAAGGTATGCCTCCTTTATTATCTGCTCACAATTTTTGTATGTCACCTACAAAGATAGTCTACGCTATAGAGAAACTCGGAACGAAAGTAAAATGGATGTCGAAGATGAGATCAGACCCAAACACCAGAAAGTCTGACACCCTCTGTGAGTTCCACCAGGAGCGAGGGCATAAAACTGAAGATTGCATCGCCCTCAGATAAGAAGTCGTAAACATGTTACGACAAAGGCACCTCAAAGAACTATTAAGCCACAAAGGGAGAACCAACTTCGCTAGAGGACGTGACCATCATGGCCTGCCAAAGCCGCCATCACCAGTTTGTACCATCAACATGATCATCGGTGGTGGTGATGACGCCTCTATCAACAGCGTGAAGTTCACCACCACCCACAAACTCAAGCTATCTATCACCCGCGAGCAGTACGGCGAACTCAAAGAAAGTATCATCTTCGACAAGTCGGATGCCGACGATTTGACCTTTCCTCATAATGACGTTCTCATTATTACCTTACGAATTTTAGATACCGATGTTAAACGCATTATGGTAGATGACGGAAACGGCGCGTGCATTATCCATCCCCGAGTAATTACCCAAAAGAAACTCGAAGATAAGATAGTGTCGCGCTGCATCACGCTAACTGGTTTCAATAATGTAGTTGAACGAACAACCGGGGAAATTACACTTCCTGTTTTGGCTGGCGGCGTAACTCTGGAGACGACATTCCACATCATGGAGCAGGCCAGTGCGTACAACGCCATAGTGGGACGACCGTGGATACACCCCATTAAAGTCGTCCCCTCCAGCTTATACCAAGTAATTAGATTCCCAACTCCATGGGGAATATTCAGTATATACGAAGAACAGTGCACATCCCGGGAATGTTGCCGATTGCCTTAGACAACACGACCACCCAACAGAGAAAAGACAAAGAAAAAGAGGCATAGCAATCAATACGGTCGAGGTCGAAGCGGGATGAGACATAGGACGTCATCAAAGATCCCGACACGGTTGAAGCCGCTGGATCGACCATAGAAGACCTCGACCCCGTTCAATCACACCTCAACGATCATAGTAAGAAGGCCTATATCGGCTGCAAACTTTAAGAACCAGGTAAATTCCATCAATTCTTAACATCTAACGCAGATTTATTTACTTTCAGCCATGCAGATATGCCAGGTATCCCAAAACAAATCTCCACGCACAAATTAAACGTTGACCCATTCCATCCCCCGGTGAGATAGGTCAGGTGTAAATTCAACCCCGTTATCAACGATGTAGTCCACGATGAGGTGGAAAAACTATTAGAAAATGGTTCCATCAGGGAGTCGAAGTACCCCCGAGTGGGTTGTCAACGCAGTGATGGTCAAAAAGAAAAATGGGAAATGGCGGATGTGTATGGATTTCACAGATTCGAACAAAGCATGTCCGAAGGATACATTCCCACTACCTCATAATGACCAACTCATCGACACAACGGCCAGGCATGAGCTACTAAGTTTTTGGATACTTGCTCGGGCTATAATCAGATCCTCATGGAAGAGGAAGATCAGGAAAAGACCACGTTCATCACCCACCAAGGAACGTATTGCTACAGGGTCATTCCTTTTGGACTAAAAATGCCGGGGCTACTTATCAAAGGTTGGTAACAAAGATGTTCAAAGACTAGCTCGGCAAAACAATAGAGGTATATATAAATGACATGCTGTTCAAGTCCAAAAGGGGAGAAGATCACATCGACCATTTGAAAGAAACTTTCGACATACTTAGACGGTACAGAATGAAATTGAACCCGAAGATATGCGCGTTCGACGTAGCCTCAGGAAAGTTCTTGGGTTTTTCGGTATCGCAGCAAGGGATCAAGGTCAATCCAAACCAAATCAAAGCCATTGAAGGGATACCAGAACTCTTAACAACCATAAAGAAAGTCCAAAGGCTGACTAGTCGCATCGCCGCACTATCAAGGTTCATCTTGCGGTGATCGGACAGGTGCCATTTTGGTATACTCAAGAAGGACAACGGTCTTGAATGGACTTCCGAGTGCGTCCAAGCTCTGCAAGAACTAAAGGCATACCTATCATCACCGCCTCTACTTTCAAAACCCGAGGCGGGGACGAAGAGATGTAAGCGCAGTGTTGATCCGAGAAAACAAAGGTACGTAATCTCCCATCTATTACATTAGAAAAACACTCATCAACACCGAGACGAGGTACCTACACCTCGAAAAATTGGCTCTCGCCTTGGTCGTAGCTTCACGGAAACATAGACCATATTTCCAACGTCACCCCATCTCGATCGTCACAACTTTCCCCCTAAGAAGCATTTTGCATAAACACGATCTATCGGGAAGGATGGCCAAATGGGCCATCGAGTTAAGTGAGCACGATATCATATACCAGCCGCGAACAGTGATAAAGTCGCAAGTGCTCGCCGACTTTAGCACAAAAATAATGGCTGAAGTCGAAAGGGAAGTCATCCAAACTTCCCTCCAAACATAAGACCTCTAGGTCCTATACACCGATGACGCATCCAATGAATCAGGGTCCAGACCGGGACTCGTACTCTAGGTCCCAACAGGCGAAGTAATTTGCAAGTCCATAAGGTGCCCGGATATGACTAACAATGAGGCCGAGTATGAGGCCGTAATTGCAGGTTTAAGACTAACACTCAAATATGGAGCGAAACGGTTGAAACCGCGCTGTAATTCCCATCTCGTAGTCAACCAGGTCATAGGGACTTTCCAAATCATAGAACAAAGATTGCAAAAATACCAGACTCAAATCTGCAAGCTACTGCCTGAGTTCATGAATATCAGCTCGACCAAATCCCACGAGCATAGAATGTCGAGGCCGATGGCCTCGTCAAACTAGACGCAACTACCAAAAGCATCACGACCAGAGACAAAAACGTGGTTCATCTCCTCAACACATCACTAGACCAAGTCGAGGTAAGAACCAATAAACTTAACTTGGGACTGGTGCAATCGCATTGTCACATACTTTTAGGACGACACACTCCATGACGACAAAAAAGAGGCCAAGAAACTAAGAATGTAAGTGGCCAGATACAGTATCCTCCATAACGACCTGTACAAGAGGACTAACGGCGGCCCTCTAGCGAAGTGCTTAGGCCCAAACCAAACTCAGCGCGTCCTCGAAGAAGTCCACGAAGGCCATTGCGGGGCTCACTCCGGCAATCGAGCACTGGTCAAATGCCCCATACGGGCGGGATATTACTGGCCCACCATGAAAAAGGATACCGCAGACTTCGTGAGCAGATGCGAGCAGACATCTCCACTCGGTCACCTCGCCTTGGCCATTCATCAAATGCGGAATAGACATCGTGGGCCCCCTCCCAGCAGGGCGAGGTAACGTAATATTCCTTTTGGTTTTAACTGACTATTTCTCTAAGTGGGTGGAAGTAGGAGCATTAGCCCAACTACGGGAACAGGAAGTAATCACCTTTATATAGAGAAACATCATCTGCCAATTCGGCCTTCCCAAAGAAATTAGTTGTGACAATGAATCCCAGTTTATAGGAAAGAAAACCGCTGAATTCTTCAAGAAATGGCATATCAAGAGGATACTCTCGACCCCACATCACCACGCGGTAACGGGCATGCAGAATCCTCCAATAAGTCAATACTAAACATCATGAAAAAGAAGCTTGAAGACGCTAAGGGACTGTGGTAGGAAATACTACCAGAAGTACTATAGGCCTACAGAACAACTCTGAAAACAAGCACAGGAGAGACGCCCTACTCTCTGCTCTACGGGACCGAGGCAGTAATACCAGTGGAGGTAGAGGTCCTAGAGGTGGAGCTTAGGCCGCTAGAGGTGGAGGCCAGCCAACAGCAGACCGACCCAGAGATGTGATCCAGGATGGTGGGGCCTAGCCCCGATGTTATGCTCTTCAGGCCAGGCCCGAGGCTGAGGCTTCAGATGCAGTTATTACAGGTACGGTTCTAGTTTGTGATAGAGCTGCATCAGTGTTATTTGATCCAGAGTCTACGTATTCGTATGTGTCATCCTATTTTGCCCCGTATTTGGTCATGCCTAGTGATCATTGGGTATTCCTGTTTATGTGTCTACGCCGGTGGGTGATTCTATCGTGGTCGATCGAGTCCATCGTTCTTGTGTTGTGGTGATTGGGGGTCTGGAGACTCGTGTAGATTTGTTGCTTTTAGACATGGTTGACTTCGACATTATATTGGGGACGGACTGGTTATCACCCTATCACGCTATCTTGGACTTCCATGCCAAGACTGTGACCTTAGCTTTACCGGGTATGCCTCGTTTAGAGTGGAGAGGGACTCCTGGTCATTCTACCAGCAGTGTTATATCGTATGTGAAGGCTCGGCGTATGGTCGAGAAGGGGTGTTTGGCATATTTAGCCTATGTTCGGGATTCCAATGTTGAGGTTCCCTCTATTGATTCTGTGCCCGTTGATTGTGAGTTTCCTGATGTTTTTCCCATAGACCTGTCGGGTATGCCACCCGACAGGGATATTTATTTCTGCATTGATCTGGTTCCGGGCACTCAGCCCATTTCTATCCCGCCATATCGTATGGCCCCGCCGGAGTTGAAGGAGCTAAAGGAACAGTTGCAGGATTTTCTTGAGAAGGGTTTCATTAGACCCAGTGTCTCACCTTGGGGTGCGCCGGTGTTATTTGTCAAGAAGAAGGATGGGTCGATGAGAATGTGAATTGATTACCGGTCAATTAAACAAGGTAACGATCAAGAATAAGTATCCACTACCGAGGATTGATGATTTGTTCAACCAGCTTCAGGGTGCCAGGGTATTTTCCAAGATTGACTTGAGATCTGGCTACCATCAGTTGAGGATTAGGGAATCCGATGTCCCTAAGACAGCCTTGCGCACTAGGTACGGGCATTATGAGTTTTTGGTTATGTCATTCAGGTTGACAAATGCCCCAGCAGCTTTCATGGACTTGATGAACCGAGTGTTCAGGCCTTATTTGGATATATATATATATATATATGTATATGTATATGGAATATGGGAAAGGTTATGGCGTTATATACGCACCATCACCTGATCAGCTGGTATACGTTGATGATTTTGCCCACAGTGGCCGAGATGATATGATGGGATGCCCTCAGAGGCTTGATGATGTTATGAACACATGTACCTATGCACGACATGGCATTCATACGCATATGCATGACACTATAAGTATTTCATGATTTACAGAGTTATCCAGACTTAAAGGTTGAGTCACTTACTCTATATTTCTTCCATGTCTTTTATGTACTTATTTATGTGCCATACATACTCGGTACATTATTCGTACTGACTTCCCTTCTACCTGGGGACGCTGCGTTTCATGTCCGCAGGTCCTAATAGAGAGGTCGAGAGTCCTCCAATTAGGCTATCAGCTCAACGGAAGATGTTGGTGCGCTCCATTTGCTCAGGAGTTGCTTGTTTGGTCATTATGATTTAGACGTGTATTGTTTGGTATGGCGGGGCCCTGTCCCGACCTTTATGATAAGTATGTACTCTTAGAGGCTTGTAGACAGATGTCATGTATACGGATACTTGTATGGCCTTGTCGGACTATGTTTCAAGTATATAAATAATCATGCCGGCCTTATAGGCTCGTACTTCATATGTATAAGTTTGTATTCCCTCTTGCTTTACTCCGGTTCATTTACCTATGATAGAATGATATGAAAGATACGTTATGTTGGTACTCGGTTGAGTAAGGTACCAGGTGCCCATCGCGGCCCATCGGTTTGGGTCGTGACAGTTGACTAATAATGAGCCCGAGTATGAGGCCATGATTGCATGTCTCGAGCTAGCTGAAAGCTTGGGGGCAGAAGTCATTGAAGTCAAGTGCGACTCACTGTTGGTGGTAAACCAAGTAAACAAAAGTTTTGAAGTTCGAGAGGATAGAATGCAACAATACTTGGATAAGCTACAGGTAACTTTGCACCGCTTCAAGGAGTGGACCCTGGATCATGTGCATCGAGAACAAAATAGTGAGGCTGATGCACTTGCTAATTTGGGATCCTCGATTGAAGAAGATGATATCGTCCCGGGGACTGTCGTCCAATTGTCGAGGTCTGGGGTTAAAGAGGGTCATGCCGAGATAAATTCTACAAGTTTGACTTGGGATTGGAGGAATAAGTATATCGATTATTTGAAAAATGGAAAACTCCCATCGGACCACAAAGAATCGAGGGCCCTACGAACCGAGGTTGCTAGGTTCACATTGGATGAAGATGGAACATTGTATAGGAGGATGTTCGATGGACCATTAGCGGTATGTTAAGAGCCGGGGGACACCGATTATGTTCTACGATAAATCCACAAAGGTACTTGTGGGAATCGCTCCGGCGCCGAGTCTTTGATTCGCAAAATTATTAGAGCAGGGTATTACTGGGATAGCATGGAAAAAGATACTAAGGAGTTTGTTAAAAAATGTGATAAGTGCCAATGGTTTGCACCGATGATCCACCAGCCCGGAGAGCAACTCCACTCAGTCCTATCCCCGTGACCTTTCATGAAATGGGGAATGGACATCGTAGGCCCTCTACCAACGGCCCCAGGTAAAGCTAAATTCATTTTGTTTATGACTTATTACTTTTCTAAATGGATGGAAGCACAGGCCTTCGAGAAAGTCAGAGAAAAGGAAGTTATCGACTTCATCTGGGACCACATCATATGCCGGTTCGGGATACCTGCCGAGATTGTATGTGACAATAGAAAGCAATTCATCGGCAGCAAGGTAACGGAGTTCCTCGAAGCACACAAAATAAAGAGGATCTTATCAACACCATACCACCCAACCAGGAATGGACAGGCCGAGTCAACAAACAAAACTATCATTCAAAACCTAATTAAAAGGTTGGACGATGCAAAGGGAAAATGGAGAGAAGTCCTACCTGAGGTCCTTTGGGCATATCGAACGACATCGAAGTCCAGCACGGGGGCCACCCTATACTCTTTCGTATATGTCTCTGAGGCCTTAATCCCTGTAGAAGTCGGAGAACCCAGCACCTAAAGAACCTGTTTTCCGTATGAATCAATATTACTCCATTCTAAATCCTTCCCGATACCTCCCAAGAAAAATCTCGAGTTTAATTAACAGGTTAGCGTGAACTTATTCATGCGGTACACCTTTGTCATTCCTTACTGGATGTACCGGAAAACTTGTGAGAAACAAAAGTAATAACTCCTGATCACCTAGGCGAACATAAGCCTGAAATTGCTAGAATTACATCTGCACGTCATCTTTTTTTTCTCTTCAAGACTTGTAAAGAACTAGAACTTTGTAAGATGACCAAACAATATACCAACCCAACAAGAAAGAAACAGAAAACAGAATGTTCCTTGCCCATTTACTGTTTATTTAGGTAGAGGGACTTCTAGACTTATGTTTTACTCGTACTGGGCAATTGGGAGGGCCATGGTGGGGGAGATGTCAGTGGCAGCAGAGCAATCGAGCGAGCAACGGGAAGGTAGACGCAGGAGAAAAAGGTACATGAATCTTTATAACATATCGGGTACATGGAACTTGCAAACTTTAAAACTAACAAATAATTGTTAAAAAGGGACTACTAAGTTGCAGCTCCAACAAATTTGGGACCTCCAAAAATGCTATTTTGGTATAAACATAATGCTTGCACCGAAGGAAGAGCATGATGCTACTTGTGAAAAACACTGGGACCTAATAAGATGGCAAGATATGGAATCGGAACAAGTCCAAGGGAAAGAAAAAAAAAAGAAAGAGACTACCCCTTTCTCTGCAGGTAAAAACAAAGCAGGCAGAGAAAAGGTCAACAGGAAGTGCAATATCAGTAGAGGCATACATATTAAAAGTTGACAAATGAATTTTTGATGCATTATCCAAATAAGATCTATTCGAAAACTCTCTTCCATCACAAGCATTTCAACTGATCCCCACCCCCCACCCAAACTAAAGATAAGTGTGTAAGGATAGCAATCTTTTGCCCATGGACATGGCTCAAACAAGCAGGAGAGATGTACGATTAAAGAGAGATTTAAACAGCAGTAATCAAGAAACCTGATGTCAGATTGCAAGAACCAGAAGATCAAAGGAAATTGCATATGAAATGTATATGTGATCATATTCTCTGAAGAGAATTCTTAAATAAAGCATGCCACCACATGTGCAACCCCAATGCTGATCATTAGTTCCATCAGAAGTCGTCGTCGTCCTCTTCAGCTATGTGCTTAGCAAGTTCTTGTTCTTGTTGTTGTCTCTCTCTCCTCTTCTCAGCACTTTCTTTCTCCTTGTGAGAATTCGGAGGAAATCGAAGAGCGCGGACTGCTTCATTATGCATATTCAGACAGAAGGCAATTCTTGAGTTAAAAGCAATTTGAGGCTCATTTGTGGAGTAAATGTCACCAGTTTCCTTTGACACCATCCATCCATTAGCATGATCCAATGTGGCATCAATTGCACCATCTCGAATTGCTTTTGACACGATACTCTCAGCATCAGCAACAGGATTTGGAGAATCCAATCTCAGCTTCTTTGCCACATCAGCCAATGAGATCCTAGAGTATGAAATACTGATGTTGCGGAGCCCAGTCCGAATGACATTATGCCGGAGTCTGACAATCAAATTGTTAGTCCCATCTGAACTGAAAGTGCTTGAAAACTTGTCCGCAACCTTTCTAAATAGCTCCAAATCTCCAACGCGAACAGCCTGAAAATCCAACAAAGATCATATACAGATCTAAGAACTTGATAGGGGATCAAGAATAAAATGGCCGGGGGAGGGACAGGTGCTTCTAGCAATGGCACTTTGAAACACTAGTCTCTATCCTTATGATTGAACACATACACTTCAAAAAAGTTCATGAATCTCTTTATCAAAGACATGTCCTCATCATTAACTCCATTTCTTTTAAATAGATCCAAATTGAGAACAGAGCAGGTAGATCAAGCACCTATAGCTAAGCAGCTAACTTGTGAGTAGTGACAAATGACTGCAAGTACAATTCACAAACATATCTTCATGTATTCCGTGACAAGTAAATGAAACCCTAATGAACATACGCTTTAAATTAGAATTTAACTTATGCTTTATAGAAATGCATCAAAATATACTATAAAGCATGTTTTCCCTATAGTAATTGTTTGATAAATGCCTGTCTTATCAGTTGTGCCACTTGGAACACTTACTCGCTAATGCATATAGGATAAAAGGAAACCACTGCAAATAAAGAATTTCACATTTTTTGAAGAAATATTGAACATATTTTTTGGACCATAATATGAATTAAACAAGAAAGTCTCAACTTCGATGGTTGTAAGCTCAAAATATGCCTTAGTACAAAAAGTTTGAGCCTGGTTTAGTGATACGCACATTTGTCAGCTCAAAATATGGCCTTAATGCTTTCTCCATGCCTTTCTGCATAAAAACAGTCCTCTCCGGGATCTCCCCAAGCAGTAAGCGGACTATAATAGCCCACTTATTGCATTGAACTCGGAAACCAAGCGCGGCTAGAGGAGCTTTACGAGCAGCTTGAAGAAGAGATTCTTTGGCATCTGTATACTCCAACTGGATTGTCCTGATCTTTCCATGGTAGAAGAGGTATCGGCAGAACTGAAGGATAAAGAAGGGAAGATGGTGAATGAGGATCAAGTGCAACAACAAACATTGTACAAAAATCCTTGAGCAAATGTGAACAAATAAAATTTAGAGCAGAGGATGCGATTCAAACAATAAAAACTACTATATTCAAGTCTGACCACTTCCCGCTCGTTAAGTTCAAACATAAATATTGATGCTTGCCATGATATCAATATAAAATCTGAAATATCACCAGCACCTTGTGAGATACATGTAATTTCATACTGATGGACAAACAAAACCCATTTAGTTGCTGTTATTTTGCATTCTAAACCTAAAACCAAAGTTAGTATGAATTTATAGTTTGTCTCCAAGTCCATGTCCTTGCTAATCCAAAACAATTTAGCAATTAGAAATTGCTGTGTCCTCTACATGTTTAAATTATATTTTAATACTCACTCTAAAATGGTTTAAGCAACGAAACTGTGGCATAGACGCTTGTGCATATCATTAAGTACTAGATGAGGAAAGGCCCGTATACGAGCCCAACATTGCAATTTTATTAAAATTATTATTTGTTGGTGTTTAGTTAATTAACTTTTGAGGTTTAACAAGCTATATTTTTAAATTACTTTTGAATATAAAAAGTATTTAGTTTGAAATCGTCTTCAAATAGTATGGATAGATGAAAATCATTTAATTTTTATTTTCAAATTGCTTTAAGATAGTATGGTTAAATATGAAAATCTTGTAGATATCAATACTTCTTTTTGTTGTTGTATTATTTAAAAATTAATTTTATTTTCTCTATGAAAACTTCTATTTGAATAAACAAAATTAATAATTTTCTAAAATGAGAAAAAAAAGAGTGGAAATGAGCATTTGCACTGCACAAATAGTCTAATCAACACATGCATTGTGCATTTAAAGGAGAGTTGTGGCTAGAGGAATGTGGGGTCCACGTGTATTTTGTATTTAAGAAATGCAAACATTGAATTTTTATGAAATGACATATATGCCCTTGGTCAACCATCTTTCCTTTTCTATATAATAGAAATTCTTTTTTTTACTTGAAATAATGGCTTACTACAAGCTCGCGTCTTACTCAATCAAAATGAGCCGGATTGAAAATAAAAAAGAAATAATGAGCATAAATTGGTAGCGGAGTTCTGCAGAGAGACCAAGGCAGTTTAAAAATAAGCCATAAAATACAATTTTTTATTATGTGTTCTATTTCATCTTATATGTGCTACAAAGTGAAATAGAGTTTCATTTCTTTTTCGTGTTGTGTGCTCTTAAATTATCAAATTTTTGTGCCTCCTCATGCTACTTAGCTTAGTAGTTACTGGTACTAACAACTAATTTTACTGAATTGCTAAGTGGAAACCGTCAATACTTAATAATTACAACAGAAATTTGTGGACGTTATTGAAAGAAAGGAATGCAAGACGGTTTGACAATAAAAGTAGCTCAATACAGAAGATTAAGATGAATTGCATTTTGTTATTTCACATTTGGTGTAAGAAAAATATGTAGATGAAGCAGAATCATTCATAGATGTCATAGAATCCCTGTGAGATGAGCAGGTGATACTTTAGCGTTTTGTAATCTGTAATATCCTTCTCAAAAGAATATCTGTAAATATGAATTCCAGCACTTTCTTTGTGCTGATGTTTTAATATACTGTTACCTTTCTCAAGAAAATATGTCTACATGTTTAAATTATATTTTAATATCTCACTCCAAAATTGGTTTAAGCAACGAAACTATGGCATAAATGCTTGTGCATATCAATATTTTTTTAACTTTGAACAATGAATTGCGAAAAGCTCACTTCTTACTCAATAATGTGTAAGGCAGAAATAATAATGTGCGTAACTTGGTAGTGGACTGCAGCAGAGAGACCAAGGCAGTTTACAAACCAAACCATAAATTCCTGAAGCTAGTAGTTTCAAAATACAATTCTTTTATGGTGTATTTTCATTTCATTTTATGCTACAAAGTGGAATAGAGTTTAATTTCCTTTTTTGTGTTATGTCCTTTAGTGCCTCCATGATCTTGCTACTTAACTCAGTAGTTATCTTAAGTAAAGTAACAACTAAATTTACTGGATTGCTAAGTGGAAATAGTCAATAGATTTAATAATTACAACAGAAATTATGGAATGATGAGATGTAGTCTGCTTTTAATCATTATTTGATAAGGGAAGTTTAATCATATTCATTAATCCTTTTTTCCCCTTTTGAGGGAGGGATGTTGTGGGCCTGGGGGGGTTAAAATGCTTTAGTATACACATGGCTTAATCCATTATGTTCAGGTGATTAGGAAAAAAGATGAAAGCAAGAAAAGGAGGGGAGAAGCAAAACTGCTAATTCTACCACCAATCAAATCTCCACTTAGAAAAACCATTCACGAGAGAAACAAATAATCAGTCTAAGAAGCACATATGCACAAAGATATGAGAATAAAGTTGAGAATTACCTGCTGATTTGAATGAGCTTCAAAATGGGGGGCCTTTGACCTCAATTTTTCTGCTTGATCATACAAGTTGTAGTGAAGGTAATTCCGCAGCAATAGATTTAGAAGCGTTTCCTGCAGCCATAATCTTCATATCAATTAGATGCAATCACGTTTAGAGGATAAAAAACAACTAGGGATCCTGAATAAATGACAAACCTGACCCAATTCGTCATGGCGCAGCGTCGCAATCCGGTGCAACCCAAGGAGAATACTGTTGAAAAATACAAGTTAAATTTGATTATAGAAGCAAAAATAGAGAAGTCAAATGAAAGGTACAAAAGGGTAGTACTAAGGCTACAGTTTCTCTTCCTAAGATCTAACTGTGAGAACTTTTCCCATTACTAATTAAAATCAAAAGTTTTTCTATGTATATACATGGCATAGCAGTTATATGTAAGCTTGAACCATTAAATTGGAACTCACCCCCTAATTTCAGCAAGATCACCAGTTAGTTCATAGCACAGAGAGTAGTAAAAGTAGAGCCTTGATGCTAGTACATCAACAGTCCTCCTGTTGACAGTTTTTAGACGAGCTATGCTTGCTGAGGAACATGCCTTAGCCTGAAAGTAAACAAGAAATACATTGTCAATCAAGGAAAGCAAAAACTTCATTGGTGAAGGACAATATGACATCAAATACAAAACTTTTATCCTACCTCATTGTATTTCTTCTGGTCGATTAAAAATATCAGAACAAGCAAGTAGCAATAGATCTCAAGCTCTGGCAAAGGATGTTTTGCAGGGGCTTGAGATGCAGATGTTGCAGTATCAACTTCCATATCATGCTCATCTTCCTATGAGAAATAAACAAATCAAAAGGCATAATTATCATATCACCAACAAACCCTAGAAAGAGAGGATTTGTTGAAATCACTAATAGCGGCTACCAGATAAATAGTTGTTCTAGCAAGTGGGCCTAGTGCAAGGGATCCTCTATCTCCAATCATAATGTCAAAGGTTCGAGTCACTAAGGGGGAAAGTGGTGAAGGCCATTTTAGGCCATGGGGGAGAGCAATTTTCCCTTCTTTTTTTTTTTTTTGGGGGGGGGTCACCTTACAAGAACAACTTCTATGCCATAACCACAAGTTAGGAGGTGGGGTTTATCATATCAAAAAAATTGGGTATGCTGATAAAGTAACCTGAAATCCTGTGCCACTGCTGACCAAAAAGAAAATCAAGAGGAAGCATATGAAAGGCCGAGCGACATGATACAAAGTTTATGTGGGACAAGAAAAAGAAAAATGCACTGTTTTTAGGATATAGTCAACATAAAACTGGTAAATTCAAGAGATGGCATAACATTAAGAGGTTGTTTGGTTCACAGACTAATATACCTTTGATTATTTATTAACAATAGTACATGGATTTCCTATATACATTCATCATCATTCAGAGATTGCAATCAAGAATTAGTTTTACCCTGGTATTGCTAAAACATGTATTCTTATTCCACATCACGTATACACAGAATCGTATGGAGTTTTAACCAAAAATGAAGAATGCAGAGTTCTACAAGTAATACAGAGTCTTATACCAGAAACCAAAAGCCGTATTTACATTGCAAGGTTTTACGGTGAAATTATTTTGGCAAACTAAACGAGCACTAAGGATACTAAACATGTTCAAAAGGATGGCATCTACATATATCAACGTTCAATAACCATTTTAACAACATTACCGTGGGTAGATATGAAGATAGCCGCGAATGCACCTCTGATCTAGGCACAAGAGCATAATTGAGGAAAGCAGAGAGTACAGAACCTTTTAGCTTCTTCCTCAGTGCCATAGTCAGCCTCACGGCTCTGGCTATCCTCCGGACCTCACGAGCATATGCCCCACTCTCAATCAGAGATGCTATCTCCTTCAAATCTAAAACATTCAGACAATTTCATTAACAAATTGACCATTTTCTGGAACTCTAACCAAGATTCATTCAAACAAAATAGGTATCTTATAAAAAGGACTCATTTTTAAAAACCCAGAAATTTTTTCAGAGAACCCTTGAAGATAAAAAGCAAAAATTGGATCTTTGAGACTATATATCACAAAATCCAGAATTTATTTTATAGAACCCTTGAAGATAAAACAAAAAATTGGATCTTTGAGGCTATATAGTAAAACCCATAAACCTAAATTCCACAGGAAGCGAGTTCCTTTTATCGTGGAGTTAACAAGTTTAAATAAAAACCGAGAAAATTCCATTCAATAATCCTAGAAAATAAAACCCAAAGTTAAATCTTTATATAATGAACCCCATAAACCTAAACGATATAGATAAGAGTTTCTTGCATTGTGACTTACGGTGCAAGACAGAGGGGCCGCCAGTTGAGGAGACAGAATTGGAAGGAGCTGCTACTGCCTGCTCTATCATCTCTACGTCTTGAGTAGTCATCTTTCGCAACAACTGAGATTATTGGCTCAAACAATAGGCGCAACGAGTGTTTGATTCGACTTCTGAATGTTTTGGGTGCTGCGGGAAAAAGGAACTCTAAACAGGTGTCATTGGTCCGGGCCGGGCCGGTTTAGAGAACATTGACGCGGGCCAATTTGCACGGGCAAATGCACATATGGGCGAAAATAGCACGGGATAGCCAGCATTTGCAAAATTATTAAAAAATAGCCATTATTTTATTATAACACAGAAAGTTCCAGCATAATATACTGGAGATTGGTGTACCTGTGTATGAATTTCTAGCATATTATGCTGGAACTCCAACACACGAAAAGTTTTAGCATAATATATTGGAGATTGGAGCACATGTGTATGAACTTCCTGCATATTATGCTGGACCGGTATATTATATTAGAACTCCAATATATTATGATGGAAGTTCAGTATATTATACTAGAACTCCAGTATATTACGTTGGAACTCCAGTATATTATCATTTTCTGAATTTTGAACAGTGTTTTCATTCAGATTTATCTTTACGTGAAAAGTGGCTAAATTTCGATTACTTTTGAAACTGTGGCTATTTTTTAATTACCACTTGTAAGTCTAGCTATTTTTTAACTTTACCCCACATATATCCATTCTGAGGATGCTATTTAGAGATTAGCCGGTACTAATTTTGTCCCGAAATTTTAAATTAAAAATTTCAACTTTAGGACAACTAAAAATATTTTTGTACTGAAAAATTAAACTAAAAAATTAAAATTCAGGACGCACTAAGTAATTCCTAAATAGCATCCCTTTAGAGTGACTACATGGTATTATTTCTACTATTTGTATCTATACCCGGTTTTAAGGTTACCATTGAAGTTATACCCATTTTTTAAAAATTTACAAGTCTACCCACTTTAGAATCAACTTAAGCTTGAAGAAGAAAAATATTTTAGTCTGAAGTACAATATACTCAAGGCCAATTAAATCTAAAGTTCAAAAATTGCACTTAAGATGCACTCAAGGCCAAATAGGTCTGAAGTGCAGTAAATATTTTCATGCACTTAACACCAAATAAGTCTAAAGTAAAAAAATTAGACTTAAGATGCACTTAATGCCTAATAGGTCTAAAGTGCAACTACTATTTTCATGTAATTAAAGCCAAATAAGTATGAAGTGCAAATTACCTAAAAATAGAAACTTGTTCTTCGATAATCCAACACACGATTCAATATCTAAATCTACTTCAAATGAGCTCAAATTTGAAATATAACCTTAAAATATCATAAAGATCAAACTCCAATTGTCAAAAATAATAACGACTGCAATCTAACAAACCTATTTTGCAAGTAAGAAGAAAAAGGAGAAAAAACTGTAAGCAGTAGCAAAGAAAGGAGCGCCACAACAACTTACTACTGTAAAACGCATCCATTGTCACATTTGTTTTCACAACCACTAAGAAGAAGAATGATGATGATGATGATGAGGAGGAGGAGGAGGAGGAGGAGGAGGAGGAGGAGGAAAGTGCTTGAAGTTGTTTGTACTTTAGGTATTAGTTAAAAGAAAATTAACAAGTAAGCACAAGTTAAATAAAGGCAGCCAAATAGGACGCCCGTGAAATTTTACTTGACGCGGTCGGTTTCGACGCCATGATGGTCCCAATCTGTTCTTATCGGATGGTTAAGGGAGTTGGGTTAAGGGATATAATAGGACCCATGCAGGTCCTGATCATTTCGGGTTGGGTTGTTGAATTTATTTTTTTTCCTTAAATTTAATATAAGTATACACTATATAAATAGTACAATATAATTTTTATTTTAATGTTTATCAATTTATAACTTATAAATAAATAATTTAAATAGTTTGTTAAAGTCTTAAACTATTTAATACTGAAAGTTAAAGGTTGACACTTGAAAGTAGTTTGAGAAAAAACTTCAAAAGCTCAAGAGCCTTACTTTCATTAAATAATACTTTAACGTGAATATTTTCATATTACAATAGAATTTGCACGTTTTATTTTGATTTTAAACTTTCAAATTAAAAATTTACAACAACATTAAACAAGAGTGTATTCAATGGTTCTCCACAGGCACCGTGCCATTCAGATACTTGGGGGTTCCATTAAATACCAAAAGATTATCTGTAGAGGATAAGATGCTTGCCAGAGTTAATGTCATGACCCAAAAGGTCATCACTTGATTTATGAGTAAATTCGGGAAGCCTCCTTTTTCCTCACCTCGATTTACGTGCGCGGTCCGGGCGTATATCCGGAACGCTTTTATGTGGAAATGTGATGAAAATGTTAATTTGGCCTTTAAAATTTAATTTAAGTTGACTTCGGTCAACATTTTGGGTAAACGGATCCGGATCTGTGTTCCGACGATCCCGGAAGGTCCACAATAAAATATGGGATTCGGGCGTATGCCCGAAAATGAATTCCGAGGTCCCAAGCCTTAGAAATCTATTTTTGAAAGAAATTATTTTGCTGAAATGTTTATGAATTAAAGAAAAGAAATAATGTTTGAAATCATTGGTATCGGGCCTGTATTTTGGTTTCGGAGCCCGGTACAGGTTCAATATGATAATTAAAATATGTCTGTAAAATTTGGTAAGATACGGAGTCGTTTGACGTGATTCGGACCCGTAGTTGTGAAATTTGATATTTTGGAACTTTTGGAATTTTTCTTTGATTTTAATGCTAAATCTGTTGTTTAAGATGTTAATTTGGCGATTTGATCGCACGAGCAAGTCCGTATGATGTTTTTAGACTTGCGTGCATGTTTGGTTTAGAACCCCGAGGGCTCGGGTGAGTTTCGGATAGGCGTCGGAGTGTTTTTGGACTTAGAAAATCTGGTGTTTTTGCTGTTTGCTGGTGTCCAGGTTTTTGTGCTATGCGATCGCATCGGAAGGTTCGCGATCGCATAATGTAGTCTCAGGGGGCCCTATTTTGTGCTGTGCGATCGCATAGGAAGGTCCGCGATCACGTAGAGTTAATTCTGGGGGTTACTATTTGTTCTATGCGTACGCAAGGCTTCTCACGCTATCGCACTGAGTTAACTAGGCCTGGGGAAGGGAAACCTATTTTCCTCTATGCGATCGCACTCCCTGCCCCGCGATCGCATCCCCCCTTACCCTATGCGAACGCATTCAATTGAGTGCGAACGCATAGGTTCCCTGTCCAGTTATTTTAAAATAGTAGCAAAACGGGATTTCTTCAAAACTTCATAACTTTTTCACTTAAACTCGAACTTGGGCGATTTTTGAAGAGGGATTTCACCACAAAACCATATATATGTGTTCTTAGACTTCTTTTCTTCAATTTCCATTAACACCATTAGATTTCTAGGCCTAAATCATGTTCTTAAGGGTAGAAAATTGGGGATTTGGGTAGAGTTAGGGCTTTTTGAATAATTGGAATTTAGACCTCGTTTTGGGGTCGGATTCCGAAACTAATTACATATTCGGGCTCGTGGGTGAATGGGTGATCGGGTTTTGGTCCGAACCTTGTGTTTTGACCAAGCGGGCCCGGGGTCGATTTTTGACTTTTTGGGGAAAATGATAGAAACCTATAATTTGGCATTGGGATTGAATTATTTAGCATTTATTGATGTTGTTAAATTAATTTGGACTAGATACAAGTAATTTGGAGGCGAATTCTAAAGGAAAAGCGGTGTTTGAGGCTTGAGTTGGCCGTGGAAGTTTGAGGTAAGTGTTTGGTCTAACCTTAGCTTGAGGGATTAGGAGTTGTGCCTTAATTGCTATGTGTTAATTGTGGAGTACGACGTATAGGCATGGTGACGAGTATCTATACGTCGGTGTCAAGCATGCCCGTGAGTCTTGTATTATAATTGTTATGACTCTGTTGTGGTTTATTCGTGCTTCATATGAGGATTATCATTATTGTTCCCTTGACGGGACGTTGTTATCATATTATTTCTCCCTTGCCGGGATGTTGGTGTTATATTACTATTCCCTTGTCGGGTTGTTGTTGTTATATTGTTGTTCCCTTGCCGGGATGTTGTTGTTATATTATTGTTCCCTTGCCGGGATGTTGTTGTTATATTATTGTTCCCTTGCCGGGATGTTGTTATTATATTATTGTTTCCTTGGTGAGATTCTTTTATGATTGGTGTTGAAATATGAAATGGGAGCGGGTTGCACGCCTGCAACGATAATATATATGAAATAGGAGCGGGTTGCACGCCTGCAACGGTAATATATGAAATGAGAGCGGGTTGCACGCCTGCAACGGTAATATATGAAATGGGAGCGGGTTGCATGCCTGCAACGGTACTATATGAAATGGGAGCGGGTTGCACGCTTGCAACGGTATTATATGAAATTGGATCGGGTTGCACGCCTGTAACGGTATTACATGTGTACTTGTTTCTTATCTCCTTATCTTTTGCTGGTATTTGATTTATGGCGCTCTTTATATTTTTCTACTGTTATTCTGTTGTTACCTGTTACTCCCCGCAGCATGTTCCCCCCCGCCCAACTTTAGCTGTAATTATCTGCTTTTATTTTTCGATGTATATGATCTAACTGCACGGGTTTATTTGGTAGTCTGGTCCTAGCCTCGTCACTACTTTGCCGAGGTTAGGCTAGGCACTTACTAGCACATGGGGTTGGTTGTGCTGATACTACACTCTGCACTGTGTGCAGCTACTGATACCGGAGCGTTTGGACCGCAGTGAGGGTGTTGTGTTCAGTCCATTCAGGCGACCCGAGGTAGTCCTGCAGACGTCCACAGGCCTTGGCGTCTCCTCCTACCTTTTTCCTTTCTATTTTTACTTATTCAGAGACAGATTCGTGTGTTTCTATTCAGACCTTATTTATAGTATTCTTAGATAGTCCGTGACTTGTGACACTAAATTCTGGGTAGAGTTGTATTTAGACTTCCGCAGTTTGTATTAAGTTAAATTATCAGATTCGTCTTCCGCTTGTTTAATGATATTATTATTTCCGTTGTTTTATATATATTGTTTCGAAATTATAAGGACTTAAAGACTTGAAAAGGGTAATTAAATTGGAATGGTTGGCTTGCCTAGCTTTCACTAGTAGGTGCCATCACGACTCCCGGGGTGAA